TGTAAACAAGAAATAAATTAGGCCTTAAAATTTTAGGGTTGCATAGTTAATATACACACAAGGAAAGTTAAAGATTAATATAAAAATGTGCACAGAGGATACAGGCCTACAAAATATAATTGCCATTATTTCCAGTAAAACATATTTCATTGATATTTTCAAATAATTTTGTAACTTTTTTGCAATTTATAGGCTTCGTTACATGACTGTTTCAATAAAAGGGTCTAAAAAAGGGTCAAATAACTATTAATTGTCACCCTAAATGGTAGTGTATAGAGGAGAAATTTTTAAGGGTCTTAATTTTCAGGCCTGAGAGGGTTACATTAATAATTTAACTAATAACAGGGTTTGTAGTACATGTACTATATTTTGTGATGCCTGTTTAAATATTCAGAGAAATACATTGAAAAACAACAATTTTTTTTGTGCCAATAAATATACATCTTTTATCACAGTTGCTATGTTGCCATCCAACTCAACTTTTCTAGACCAGGTGTTTGGACAACATACCTGCCAAGCATATCCAGTTTCTTGGGCTTCATCCCGGTTTTCAGTTATTTCTCCCTCATATGGACCAAATCTTGTTCTTTTACGGAAAAATTTATCAGCAAATACTCCTTGCCCAGCATTGAAAATATTTGACTGTCTTACTGATAGGCCATTGGGAAGGGTTTTCTTGGCTCTGTCAGGATTACCTAGAGGTTGCTAAAAATTAATCAAATTTAATAAGATTTCTCTGGCCATGCAGTTAATTTGCAAACATTGTTATAGTAGTGGATGGTTCAAATGGAATACAAAAGATAGTTTTTGAAGTTGAATAAATTTGAAACTTTATAAGAATAAAACTTAATTAGACGGTCTCTTTCAAATATTTTACCTCTGTATCAGCTAGTGACCACTAAACGTGGACCATGTATTGGACAGTCACCTTCATGTATCTATATCTTACCTCTGTATCAGTGACCACTAACTGTGGACCATGCATTGGACAGTCACCTTCATGTATCTATATCTTACCTCTGTATCAGTGACCACTAACTGTGGACCATGTATTGGACAGTCACCTTCATGTATCTATATCTTACCTCTGTATCAGTGACCACTAACTGTGGACCATGTATTGGACAGTCACCTTCATGTATCTATATCTTACCTCTGTATCAGTGACCACTAACTGTGGACCATGTATTGGACAGTCACCTTCATGTATCTATATCTTACCTCTGTATCAGTGACCACTAACTGTGGACCATGTATTGGACAGTCACCTTCATGTATCTATATCTTACCTCTGTATCAGTGACCACTAACTGTGGACCATGTATTGGACAGTCACCTTCATGTATCTATATCTTACCTCTGTATCAGTGACCACTAACTGTGGACCATGTATTGGACAGTCACCTTCATGTTTTATATCTTACCTCTGTATCAGTGACCACTAAATATGTACCATGTATTGGACAGTAACCTTCATGTTTTATATCTTACCTCTGTATCAGTGACCACTAAACGTGGACCATGTATTGGAAAGTCACCTTCATGTTTCTATATCTTACCTCTGTATCAGTGACCACTAACTGTGGACCATGTATTGGACAGTCCCCTTCATGTTTTATATATCTTACCTCTGTATCAGTGACCACTAAATGTGGACCATGTATTGGACAGTCACCTTCATGTTTTATATCTTACCTCTGTATCAGTGACCACTAAATGTACGTGGACCATGTATTGGACAGTGCCCCCTTCATGTTTTATATATCTTACCTCTGTATCAGTGACCACTAAATGTGGACCATGTATTGTACAGTCACCTTCATGTTTTATATCTTACCTCTGTATCGGTGACCACTAAATGTAGACCATGTATTGGACAGTCACCTTCCTGTTTTATATCTTACCTCTGTATCAGTGACCACTAACAGTGGACCATGTACTGTAGATCACTTAATTTTCGCGACACCTTATTTTCGCGAGATATTCATTGACTCTTTGTCAGCGAGACAAAATTTTCACGAATTGTGTTTGTTGCTCTATATAATCTTAAGGGATTCTATTATACACGAGAATGAAATTTTGGCGAGCATACCGTCTCGCTTAATTACGCGAAAATAAAGTTCTCGCGAATAAAAAGTGATTTACAGTATTGGACAGTCCCCTTTATGTTTCTATATCTTACCTCTTTATTGATCAGTGATCACTAACAGTGGATCATGTATTGGACAGTCTCCTTCATGTTTCTATATCTTACCTCTGTATCAGTGACCACTAACAGTGGACCATGTATTGGACAGTCCCCTTCATGTTTCTGTATCTTACCTCTGTATCAGTGACCACTAAATGTGGACCATGTATTGGACAGTCCCCTTGATGTTTCTATATCTTACTTCTGTATCAGTGACCACTAACAGTGGACCATGTATTGGACAGTCACCTTCATGCTTTATATCTTACCTCTGTATCAGTGACCACTAACAGTGGACCATGTATTGGACAGTCCCCTTCATGTTTTATATCTTACCTCTGTATCAGTGACCACTAACAGTGGACCATGTATTGGACAGTCACCTTCATGTTTTATATCTTACCTCTGTATCAGTGACCACTAACAGTGGACCATGTATTGGACAGTCCCCTTCATGTTTCTATATCTTACCTCTGTATCAGTGACCACTAACAGTGGACCATGTACTGGACAGTCCCCTTCATGTTCCTGATTACATTCCTCACAGTCTACATCAAAGTCATCAATACATAAAATAGAAACTCTTAATATTGCACAACCATAATATTTTGAACCCATTCCTCTGTACCAATGAAATAAAATTGGCATTATTTTAACTGTAGGGTTTGGGTAATATGAAAAAAAAAATGTGTTAAAGGGGGTCAATGTATGTGGCTAAGCAATATTTAATTCAATTTTTTTTTTGAACTTTCACATTTATATCAAAGAAGTGCATACAAAGGTATATTCACATACATATATCTTCATTCAAGTACCTATTCTGAGTAGCACATACGGGTATTAAGCTTGCATCAAGATACACACATTAACATAATTTACACATCTAGACAAAGCAAAATTTTATTTGTTCATGGTATGGCAATTTCCTTGGTTATACTCATTATTATTGTAGATTTTATGAATATGCTTAATTTCTGTTCATGGGGATATAAATTGGTGGTTAAGGTGAGTCAATTGAAATCCCAAACATTGTTCCCCCAAGAACCATGATGAGTCCAAATTATCCATGCTTCACAGTTATAATAATTTCAATCCCTCCTCTGAACTAATGGATTTTTGCAACCAAAACATCTCAAACTCTTCACAGTACTCTCACACAAAAAATGAACACAGACAGTTTACGGCTCTATATGTCAACATTTAGCAAAGCCAGAGCTGCCAACTTTCTGAAATGACAAATAGTAAGGCAGGGTCTAGGGACCACTTAGGCCCCCTTCCTCTAAAGATGTTTTGAAAATGGACATGCAATCTGAGGCATATGTTTCCATTATTTGTTTACTTTAAAACATTGACATGAATGTGATCCGCCTTCTAAAACCGAAAGGATGATACAAGCAAGCGTTGTAAGAATTATGAATATATTATAATAGTAGTAACTATAGACTGCCAGCTATGAGGCCAGGCTTAAAAAATTCTTTGTTTGCAGTTGCCAACCTATAATTTTTAGACTGGGTAGGTAGGTTGGCATTCTATTTTTTTTTTTTGGAAAAAAAAATTGTGTCCAGATATTTAATTGTTAGATAACATAAAATAAAGTTTTTCACAGGCCTACTATACATGAATAAGCTCGACTCTTGGTATAAACTACTGATTGATTTATAATACGACAAAAATTGAAAATGAAACACTTTCAATATCCTGAAAATTTTTATGCGCCCGAATTTTTTCGGGGCGCATATTGTTTTTGTCCTGTCTGTTTGTCTGTTTGTCTGTTGTCAACTTTAACCTTCGCCAAAACTTTTAAACCGTAAGAGATAGAGACTTCATATTTGGTATGCATACTCCTCTAATAAAGTCCTTTCAAATGACATCAAGGTCAATGACCTTGTGACCTTGACTGTGACCTATATGCTAAAAATAGCTTTTTCCACTGTTTGTCATAACTTTTTAACAATAGGAGATAGGGACTTCATATTTGGTATGCATACTCCACTAATAAAGTCCTTTCAAAGGACGACAAGGTCAATGATCTTGTGACCTTGACTGTGACCTATATGCTAAAAATAGCTTTTTACACTTTTTGTCATAACTTTTGAACAATAAGAGATAGAGACTTCATATTTAGTATGCATACTCCACTAATAAAGTCCTTTCAAACGACACCAAGGTCAATGACCTTGTGACCTTGTCTGTGACATATATGCTTAAAATAGCTCTTTCCACTGTCTGTCATAACTTTTTAACCATAGGAGATAGGGACTTCATATTTGATATGCATACTCCACTAATAAAGTCCTTTCATACGACGACAAGGTCAATGATCTTGTGACCTTGACTGTGAACTATATGCTAAAAATAGCTTTTTACACTTTTTGCCATAACTTTTGAACAATAAGAGATAGAGACTTCATATTTAGTATGCATACTCCACTAATAAAGTCCTTTCAAATGACACCAAGGTCAATGACCTTGTGACCTTGTCTGTGACATATATGCTTAAAATAGCTCTTTCCACTGTCTGTCATAACTTTTTAACCATAGGAGATAGGGACTTCATATTTGATATGCATACTCCACTAATAAAGTCCTTTCATACGACAACGTCAATGATCTTGTGACCTTGACTGTGAACTATATGTTAAAAATAGCTTTTTACATTTTTTGCCATAACTTTTGAACAATAAGAGATTGAGACTTCATATTTGGTATGCATACTCCACTAATAAAGTCCTTTCAAATGACACCAAGGTCAATGACCTTGTGACCTTGTCTGTGACCTATATGCTTAAAATAGCTTTTTCCACTGTCTGTCATAACTTTTTAACCATAGGTGATAGGGACTTCATATTTGATATGCATACTCCACTAATAAAGTCTTTTCAAACGACGACAAGGTCAATGATCTTGAGACCTTGACTGTGACCTATATGCTTAAAATAGCTTTTTACACTTTTTGCCATAACTTTTGAACCATAGGAGACAGGGACTTCATATTTGGGATGCATACTCCACCGATTAAGTGCTTTCAAATGACACCATGGTCAATGACCTTGTGACCTTGACTGTGACCAATATGCTAAAAATAGATTTTTTGAACTTTGTTGCCACCGGGCACATAGTGTTTCACAAACACATCTTGTTTTTTTTTTTTTTTAAATTACGAAATAGCTAAAAAAAGTTTAGGTCGGGTGCATTTTCAGTGGGTGGGTAGGCAACTACAAACAAATAATATTTTATTTTAGGTCTGAAAATAGCGGTATTATTAACTTTGAACGAGAAAAACTGAAATTGGAAGAATATAGAGAGAAATCATAAAGCATATTTTAGACGCTGAAATCATAAGGGTTGGCAGCTCTGCAAAGCAATACATGTGTATTTTAAAATTATTCATATCATAGATAGACGTGTAATGGGGCTCAATACTTCACAGTCATTAATAGCTAGAGGCCTACCCCATCCCATCCAAAAAATAAAATGTATATGTCACAGCCGCAATATATCTTTAACTCCATTAATAGACAACAATAACCAGAGGTCTCTGATGAGTCTGTAGCTCTACTGGTCTGTACTTGTAACAAGGGAAAAGTAGCACTTGGATTTGAAACTTTGCAACACGCAGCAATTAATAGAATTATATATCCTGGTGTGGTCTACTCTCCCAAATTAACATTGAAAGCAGACCAAAATTGTACGAGGAGTAGGGTTTTAAAGGAATTTCTCAAGAAATTTCTATTTTCAGTAACCATGCCAACAAGTGTTCATTGAAATTAGTGTTGACAAATCGGACGATTTTTAGTAACCGGTTACTCGCTTCATCTTTCGATTGAGTACCCGGTTACTCGAATGATTTTTGGTAAAAATGTGAATATCTATTATTTATCTTATTCTATACTTATCAGTAGTAGTAATGCACAAATATACTGTATATGGACATTATATTCACAATATATGCACACATATGATTTACGATTTTTAAATAAAGAAAATAAAGAATTCGACACACGAAGAAGACAAATAAATTCGTCATCGTCAATCACCGTTTCACAATTGCTTTCTTTATCTTTCCTTTTCATCCCCTCGAAATATGTCGCAATCAAGGAGGATAATTATTTACATACTCCATTAATAATAGTTAATATGTGAAGTGACTCCAGTAAATCGCTGGTTTCCGAATAATATTTCAAGCTGATTTAACAGATTTTGAATCAGCTGTTCATTTTTTACAACTCCAAGGTTAATATACATGTCTGCGGTGGTATCTCGTTAAATTATCAAATGAGGTAATTATAACTCAGGCCTTCAAAAGATGTATACCCTAAGCAATCAAAGCTATATCAATTATATAAACTTTGAAAACTAATCAAAGCAATTTGATCCCCTACAACCATGAATTAGATCAAGTCTAAAGTTACCTAAAATTAGGAAAATGTGTAAGTTAGTATACATTTATAAATTATAAAACATTTATTTTCTATGCCTTTACTTTGTAGAATTTATTTTATTCGAGTAACCGAATAGCAGTTTTACTAGCCGATACTAATGCATCGTTCGACAGTTAACCGGGTACTTGTTGCCAACACTAATTGAAATAAAAAACTGATGCATTAAGTTATGTATCTTAATGTAGTCTACTTGTATGCCAAGTTACCGGGTATATTGAAATCGGATCAAAACTAAAGCCGAGGAGGAGTAGCGTTTTGGAAAATTGTTTACAAACAGACGGATGAATGACGGAAACCTTACTATCGCATATTAAGATCTTCTGGTCTCTGACCAGTAGAGCTAAAAACTACAGCATTACATGTAAGTTTACAGCATAGAATAATATTCCTTTAACTTACTACAAAAGAAATAAAACTATAAAGACACTTACATATAAAATCATCATCATCTGGCACTTCAACATCCATGTAATTAAGTCTCTCTTGTACTCGAAGTGGATATTTACGTGGCTCTTTTTTGTTAGTCGATTTTTTACTATTTTCAGTCTAAATAATATTAAAGAAAGGAATTAATTATTAAAAATATATTTAAAAACTACTAATAAGTATCCATCATGTATGTGATCTATGTTTGCTCTGCTAAATTGATTTCTAATTTCAATTATAATTTTTTTGTTATAAGTATTTTCTTGCATGTCATTTTATTTTTAGAGTACTCCTTGCATCATGAACATGATGGAGCACCAAAATGAACATTGGTAAAATATAAATTTTCAAAGAGGGAGACTAGCTACCACAAATCAGATCAAATTAGGCTACATAAAATTGAAATTCTGGTCCTCAGGCCCACGTGCATCCATTTTGAGGTAGCCGCATTGCTAATTTTATTGTATTTTTGATAAAATAAAAAGATGGTTTGCGGAGACCAATCCGGAAAAAAAAGTTCCAACCTCAGTTTTTTTGTAGTTTAGTATTCAAATATCATTTCAGGTATGAATTTGCAAAGAGATTTTGGCTACCTTGGTTGAAAATTACATTCAAAAACATTGCCTACCATGTTCACATGCTGATAAGCAATGGATGTTAAAGCAACCTGTTCTTTTGATCAGACATATGGAAACTATATCTGTGAATAAAATAAATTATCTTTATTTTAAAGAAAAATCGAAAATTAAAATAAAAAAAAAATACCTCCCTCATGCATCTGTTTTGGAGAAAATTGACCTGAGAACCAGAGAATTAAATTTATATTTAGTCTTAGGATTTTGATAAAATTTTCCAGGTATTCAAAATCAAATATGAGAAAAAGTTGAACAAGCTAGTGACCTTTTTGTGACTGACTCTACAACTAAGAAGATGGATGTTTAAAAGTGCTTTTATTCTTTGTACATGAATATCAATTAAGGACCCTGCTAAATTTTTCAATTACAGATAAAATGTTTTAAAAAATGAATATTAAATGTTTAAAACAAAAACCATTTATTTTTCATTTTCATGTCATTTGCATAAACGGTTTTGGAATGGTTAATTTGCATGTTATAGGGCCCAATAAATGGATCGAGTTTGAATGGATATTGAATGCATGAGGTTCAATGAAAATATAAAGAGTCATAGAAGTGATCCAATGACCATGGTCATTCTATGAATTGAAAAGATCAAGAGTCCCATCGGCAACAATACTTATCTGACGAACTTTGGCCTTTGACCTTGATGTTTGACCTACAATGTACTTTTTATAAACTTCAACCTTGATCATATCTTTTGAATGAGAAGAGATAAGACTTTCAAATTACACATGTATATTACGGTAATATACAATTACCTGTGGCAAAACATATCTAAATTTTATATCTATATCATATCTATGATTTTTGATCTTGTGACCTTGAAGTTTGACCTACTTTTCAAAAATGTTAATTTTTCCTTATAACTTGATTGAGAAAAGATAGGGCTTTTAAATTTGACATGTGCATTACCTGTGACAAGATATTTTTGTCATTTTTTGAGTATGTTATGATTTCTGACCCCTTGACTTTGACCTTCATGATTGACCTAATTTTTCAAAAAATGAACTTCAGGGAGTAACTTCTAAAATCACACGATATGGTGTTCATATTTAACACAATACATGGATGTCATAATAAAATGACATCTTACCCACAAAGACACCAAAAGCATGGGACCACAGTTCTATGAATTTGCTTGTACATGTATTAACTTATTTTGGAATATGATGCTACATAAAAAGCTTTGATATTTTGAATGTAATAGAAAGTTCTACATTGATTATGCAGTAAATATGAACAATATAAATTTATATATAATATACATGTACAATAAATACATACACAACAATCTTATAGTACCTTTATTTTCCTGGGTTTCTTTTCCTTTACCTCCTTTACTGGGACAGAAAACCTAACTGTCTGTTTCTTTTCTTTAAAAAAAAAAAAAACCTTGATGTTTTAACATGAATATTGAATGTTTATCATAAACACTGTATCTATGATCTCTATTGTACAAAACATGGTGAAATTGTAAGAGTAAACAGGTCTATGCTACTATGAATACATGTGGATGAGTCCTGAAACACTAGCTGTGTTTATACTCTTGTGAACAGACTAAAAGAGAGCAAATTATGGAGGGGAATGAACCAGAGAAAATTTAACAAGAAGAAAGTGAGTATTACAGTGTAGAACTGATTGAATGCAAAAAATAGTCTAATATTTCAGGTACTGTACCCCTCGTAGACTTGTAAGGAGTCCATTCTTCATCGCTGTCTGATTCCACTTTCTTTGTTTTTCTTTTTGCTCTAGATCTGGGTCCCTTCATGAACTCAGGCATCACAGCAGGTAATCCTGAAATCATTAAATTTATAGATATATAAACTTAATAATGTCATAGAGTCAATTAAGAAATTGCTTAATAGCGCATTTGTAGGCAACCAAAAACCATAATACACAGTGCCTGGAGCTGTGCCCCTTTTGTTGCATCTTCAGAATGATTGTCAAATGATCTTTGAAAGAAATATATATGTATATAATTATATGTATTTTTCATAATTTAATGATGGTATACTTACCAACAGCCAACATTATCTCATAGTTCTTCCTCATGTTTTTGTATCTAAGCATTTCAATATTAGAAAGTTTGGCCAGCTCAGCCTTGGAGAAATATTCCTCTACACTGTATTCTCTGTTCTCAAGTTCTTTGATGACTTCGTCACTTGGGAAATCCATGTTTAGTTTTGAGCTAAACAAGTTAAACAACCTTTTAAAAATCAATCAAAAGTAACTTCAATAGGGTTATATTCAAATACTTACTGTAACATATAAGTACTCAAAAAAAGAAGAAGAGAAAAACAATCGAGAAATATCAATAAAGTTAGAAAGTCAAACTATAAGCACTCATCTTTGACCAGTCTAAGGAACACAATTTAAAAAAATCATTTGAAGGGGGGCCTCTTCAGAAGTCAAATGAGCTCTGTTTATTTCAGGGGGGACCTATGTCGTTCTACGTCAAAACAGCGTTATCTTATGTGACGTCACAATAGCGACGTTTGTTTTTACCTGTTGACTTTTGCAACTGTGATATAGGCTTAACATTGTTTTAAATAATCAATAACATACACAATTGCCAAAAAGAAAGTTATACATCATTAATAGAAGTTTTATTTGATTAATTGATTTGTTAGGTCACCTGAGTAAACTCAGGTGACCTATTGCTATCTGTTTTCGTCCGTTGTCGTGCGTCTGTGCGTCGTGCGTCGTCCGTTAACATTTGAACATTTTCAGCTTCTTCTCTGCAACCACTAAACCAATTTCAACCAAATTTGGCACAAAGCATCTATGGGTGAAGGGGGACAAAAATTGTGAATTTCATGATCCCTGCCCCCCTGGGGCCTGAGGGGTGGGGCCAAAACCACTAAAATTACTGCAATCTTTGAAAATCTTCTTCTTTACTCCTGGACATCAAGCAGTCAAACTGTTAGCATGATTGTAATCAGCATTGAGTCATCTACCAAAATTGTGAAATTCATGGCCCTGGGGTCAAGGGTTCTAGTTCTAGGGTGGGGCTAAATAAGTATATAGTAAAAATGCATTATTTCTTTGAAAATCTTCTTCTCTGCTCCTGGGTATCAAATAAACCAACTAATTGCATAGTTATAATGAGCAAGAGTGCCTCTACCAAAACTGTGAATTTATTGGCCCCAGGGTCAGGGGTTCTGGTGTTAGGGTGGGGCTCTATAGATTATATAGTGAAAATACATGAATTCTTTGAAAATCTTCTTCTCTGCTCCTAGGAATTAAATAAATAAACTAAGTGCATAGTTATTATGAGCAAGGATACCTCTATCAAAGTTGTGAATTTTATGGCCCCAGGGTCAGGGGTTCTGGTGTTAGGGCAGGGCTCTATAGATTATATACAGAAAATACATGAATTCTTTGAAAATCTTTTTCTCTGCTCCTGGGTATTAAATTAACTAAGTAAGTGCATAGTTATGATGAGCAAGAGTGCCTCTACAAAAATTGTGAATTTTATGGCCCCAGGGTCAGGGGTTCTGGTGTTAGGGCGGGGCTCCTTAGGTTATATAGTGAAAATACATGAATTCTTTGAAAATCTTCTTCTCTGCTCCTGGGTATTAAATAAATAAACTAAGTGCATAGTTATTATATGCAAGGGTGCCTCCATCAAAGTTGTGAATTTTATGGCCCCAGGGTCAGGGGTTCTGGTGTTAGGGCGGGGCTCTATAGATTATATAGAGAAAATACATGAATTCTTTGAAAATCTTCTTCTCTGCTCCTGGGTATTAAATTAACTAAGTAAGTGCATAGTTATGATGAGCAAGAGAGCCTCTACAAAAATTGTGAATTTTATGGCCCCAGGGTCAGGGGTTCTGGTGTTAAGGCGGGGCTCAATTGATTATATAATGAAAATACATGGATTCTTTGAATTTTTTTTCTCTGCTCCCAGGTATTAAATAAACTAAGTATATAGTAATGATGAACAAGAATGCCTCTTCCATAATTGTGAATTTTATGGCCCTAGGGTCGGGTCTCTGGTGTTTGGGCGGGGCTCTATTGATATTATAGTGAAAATACATGAATTCTTTGAAAATTATCCTTTCTACTCCTAGGTATTACGCAGGTGAACATACCTATATAGTTATAATGAGCAAGGGTCCTAATCTTCCAGAATTGTGAATTTCAAGGCCCCTGGGTCAGGGGTACCATGGGGGGCTTTGTATAGTGAAAATGAATGTATTGCTTGAAATCTGCTCCTTGGTATTAATCAAATATTTTTGAAAAGCAAGGATGCCTTTTTAAAAATTGTGCAATATGTGGATCTAGACCTAAGGGTCAGGGGTTCATGTGTGAAGGGGCCACTACTGATTAGTTGACATGCATTTTTTGCTCCCCTACCCTGCCTTTGGGTATTAAGTAACCAAACTAAGCAACTGCTAAATGTATTGTTATAATGATCAATGGTGCCTCTTTCAAAATTGTGAATGCTATAGCATCTGGCTTTAAACATGAATCAAATTCAGTCACTGGAAAGTTGTTGCATAATGCTCAGGTGACCTATAAGGCCCATGGGCCTCTTGTTAATTTTACAAATCTCTTCCTTTGGTTGATAATTCATTGATTGAAAATAAGTCGATATTATGCTGGTATAAGTCCAAAAAGATAAGACAAGATTCAGCAAAGAAAGCGGCTTAAATCAGGAAAATATGTTTAAATAATAATTTTATGTTTACCAATAACTGTATTTTCTCGATAAAACTAAGAAAAAACTAAGAAATGTACTTGTACCTATATTTGCTTATTGATTAGTGCATTTAGATTTAATTGTATAAAGTCATTCCTAAGTTAATTCTTATAGGTGTTGGTAATGCCGGGGAAGGGAGGGGAATAATTGGAATCAAAAGAAAAGATTAAATCAGTGTAAATTGTTACTAATCAAAACAAAATACTTGTCTTCCGCAAAATAGTTTTATATTCAGATGTTTGCCAGTGCTAACTTGCCTTTGGAATTGTCTAAGTGCAGAAAGGTCATGACAGAAGAGTATGAAAATGAAAGGAAACTTCCATTATATTTTTCGTTATTTTAATCATAAAGTTACACTTTTTTCTTTAGTAGAATAAAGAGATAATTCATTTCTTTCAAAAAATATGAATTACAACATTTTCACACAAAGACTTTTTAAGATATTACCTTTTATGCATGTCGGAATTGAAAAATTCGACAAGAAAAATGGGTTAATACTTACATTGTGCTCTATTATAATTTTTCATGCGAGATGAATTACGATGATTTTGCCTTCATTTTAAAATACAAGTCAAATAATTAAAGTACCTGTTGATTTTGAATGTAATTTGACATTTTTATTCATTTTAGCGCATATTTCAGAATTTGGTGTAGAACAATAATGTCTGAAAATAATCTATTTTTAGCATTTCACACAGTTTTTGCACCTGCTCCTATGTAAAAATAAGCACATAAAAGTATTGTTTTTAATACCTTAAAATTAAGAGCAAGTGGCCTTGAAAGAAATGTCAAAGTTTTACAAATTTCATACAAAGATTTTCCGGACATAGGTCCCCCTTACAACAATGTTTCTAGTCAAGACGTTACGTAAAAGGGGGGGGGGTTAAAATAAAGAAGCCATCCTCATCAGCCTCAGGAAAAAAAAATGTTCAGAAACATGGTGAATAATCTGTACAAAACTTTCTCAGTTTTCTATTGTGAAAGAGAAAACAAAGATTGCTTATATCTGCAAGGCCCGACATTTAAACTAAGGGTGGGTTTCGTTTAGTAAACTAAAGTAAAAATGTTGTTACCTCGACTCAAAATAGTAAAATAAAAGATGCACCACAATATAAATGTGTTAATCTTTTTGATTTCTTGTGTCAATTTACCTGCTTATCCGACTATCGAGCCAAATATTGGAAATGTTTTCAGTTCGGTGATCCGGTGACCTTCGTTCTTTGTGTGGAAGCAGACGACAAGAATAATTTTTTGACGGTCGAACCCGATTAAAATAAAATTTAGCGCGTGAATTTTCCATCGAACTCGTATAAAAATGAATGTAATTAGGCAGGATTAAAGTCTTCTATATCTAAAAATTGATTGATTATTCTCTTAAATGAAAGGATTCATTTTTTAAATCTTAATTTTTGGATGATTCGTTAAATCTCTTAAAGAAATACGCATGCTAACTCTCGATTCCCGCCTACATTTTGCAACCATTTAATTCAACCTTAAACAGCAATTTGTCAATATATATTCTTTGTTTCATACAAAGAACACTTCAATGAAATTGGTGATTTGTCTTAGTAAATTATCCATTCCTCTAGCTCTTGAAAAAAAAGGGGGGGGGGGGTAGACGAAATTTTCCATTGAAATCGGACTTTCAGGAATCATCATATTTTGAAATAGTCTTGGATATGATTAAATGTTCCTTATATCTTTTCTAATGATTTAGGCAAATAAATAGAACATAAATATATTAGGATAATGTTTCAGTTGTAAATCACTTTGGAGATGGTGGATGATGATCATTTTTGTCGTTTTTTGTCAATAAACATACCTCCCTCCAATGAAACACAAAATGCTTTTGTATGAATTTGTGAAATAACAGCCCATTTTACCTGTAAAAAGGAATTTTTGTGTCACAAGGGGGGGGGGGTAAAAATATATATTTTCCGTTTTCCGTTGATTTCTAAAGTACCTCACCTAGCTCATCCCCAGGAAATAGGATTTTTGTGAGTTGACAAAGGAATTATAATACTAGTATATTTTCCTTTATTTCTCTCTCTCTCTCTCTCTCTCTCTCTCTCTCTCTCTCTCTCTCTTTGCTTGTCATTATTTGTAGATCTGAAAAAAATTCTCTTACACTTACCCCCCCCCCTTTCAATTAGCTTCCGACGCCAATGTCTTGTTTTTATGATTATTTCACTCGACCATCATCATTGTTTAGTTATGTGTTTATTATTAATTGTTAATAATAATAATGTACATCATGTTTACACAACAACACATAGTGCATTATATAGATCTACAAATGAAACTTTAAAATGCAATATATATACTTAATGGAAGAATTGCTCTTCATCATATGTTATATTCTGTCTATATAACTTTATCATGTTTATCTGTATAATTATTATATATGTTACAGTGTTTTTGTTTATGCCCAATAGGCCATGATTTAGTAATAAATTATATTTTATACCAGTGGCGGATCCAGGA